AGTTGGTTGACTTGTGTTGTTAAATGTCATGCAATTTATTTTTAAAACATTGCATGGTTAGGTGGAGAAAATGATTTTATTTTATTACTGTTACTATACTGTAAATAAAGCTCTTTCTGATTAAGCCATGTAAGCCACTTAACAGAATAGTGTTGTTTGATTTACTTTTCTTTCTTTTTTTTATAAACATGTGAGATGTAAATCAAGAAAACAAGAGATGCACGCAATAAGTCTAACCATGTTGAGCTATAAAACAATGATTTGTTTTCTGTAAATAAAGGTATCCAAACAGCATAATATGCGAAAGCATCTTTAGAGTTTCCATGGTTTCTAGGGAACCGGAATTCGAGGGTAACACAGAAATGATGTCATTGACACTGTTAAAATTGCTAATTTCCCTGGATTTAAAAATTGTTGGAAACATTTGGGATAATGTAAGTATACATATAACATTGCTCTTGTGGTTTTTGGATATTTTAATCTAAAAAAATCTTACATATTGTGCCTTTAAGTTTCATGGATGGTAAAAATAGACTAAATTATCTTAAAATATATTTATATATATTTTTGGAAACATTTGGGATAATGCAAGTACACATATAACATTGCTCTAGTGGTTTTTGGATATTTTAATCTAAAAAAAATCTTACATATAGTGCCTTTAAGTTTCATGGATGGTAAAAATAGACTAAATTATCTTAAAATATATTTATATATATTTTTGGAAACATTTGGGATAATGCAAGTACACATATAACATTGCTCTAGTGGTTTTTTGGATATTTTAATCTAAAAAAAATCTTACATATAGTGCCTTTAAGTTTCATGGATGGTAAAAATAGACTAAATTATCTTAAAATATATTTAGTGATTTAGGGTATTTTCCCAGACAGTCTCATTTGTGGGATGCTTACATATTCCTCTGCCATTATCACCTTCTGTTTGTTGTAATCTCGCAGATATTGGTGTGAAGCGGAGCAGAAAACAAACCAACAGAAAACACTAAGAAGCCCGTTGATACTCATTAACGGAAACTTCATGTGGGAAATCGGTTGCTCAGCAGAGGAGATATCCAACCTTGAGTTCCTTTCATTAACCCTCCATGTTTATTCATTAATGCTGCCTCTTACACTTGCAACGCAAGCTGAGAACAACGACCTGATACACAACACAACGCTATGTTTTTCTTTCGCTCGATAAACAAAGAAACACTGTGTTGTGGAAGACGTGTTTGTCTAATGGTGACACGCACACATGGACTAATCAACTCCTCGTTTGCAGTTCTGAGCGGTTCTTCAACCTTCTTTCCAGCTGTTACGGCAAACAAACTTCAAACGAAACTCAAGGACTCCAGTTCCTCTTCAAAAGTAGGTTAAAAAGGATCTTATCTGTTGCAGTCTCCTTATAGTGCCTCAAAGAAAGACTTTTAAGCATACCTTTATATCTCAATCCCCACCTGAAAGTGACACGCTCTATCCAGACTATACAGATCTCGAAATCTGGAGATCGCACAAGCATTAATGGATGGAGAACAACATTTCTCAATCTGTTTTACCATCCATCCATCTTTCACAACTGGCTGCAACACACTGGCTGTGTCTAAAATCACATACTGTGTTCATACTTTGCACGTGACGTCACACCCAGATAGCAAACTGACATTGAATCAACTTGGAAACGACGTCTCTCATGACATCAAAACAACGTTGATTTTGCTCATCGAATTAACGTTGAACCGTCAGACGCGGCATTCTTCAAAGCTAAATGAAAATCGAAAATTGGTTTGCTTTCATAACGTTGAAACAACGCTTTGATTTCAAGTTGATTTTCCGTTAGTTTTGAAAGAATGACGCGTCTGACGTTGGTTCAACGTTAATTCGATGAGCAAAACAATGTCAGATCAACGTTGTTTCGATGTCATATTTCCACGTTGATTCAATGTCAGTTTGCTATCTGGGCAAGTACTGGCTGGCGGGCAAGAACGCCGTTCCCTTTCAAGGGAACTTCGAGCTGCGTTTGAGACGCGGTGGGAACGCTCTGCGTGATTGCGTCGCGAGGCATCTGTATAATCAGTCCGAGACGTCATAGGCGGGTGACGTCATAGACCAGGAAACTATAAAGCACCCCTGAAAACAGACCGCGACAGCTTCTGTACCTTCAGCAAGCGATCTCCGTACTCTGTCCTTGTCTATTTACTTTCGAGTCAAGTGGTCTCTACCAGTGATGCGCGGGTTGATGTCTATGGGCCATGTCTATGATCACTACAGTCTGCAGAGAGATGGAGGCGGCAAGAGAAAAGGTGAAGACTGGGGAGTGGAAGCTCCGCAAATACACAAATAGAAAGAGTAAAAGTGTGGGAGACATTTGCTGAAATAATGAAAGATGACGACTGGCTTTGCCTTTGATATGTGTAGGCCTACGTCTTCTTGTGATGCTGTGTTGTTACACGTCTATGGCCCAATAACGCTCCGATGAGCATTACTACTTTTAAAAAATGTGG